CTCTTAATAAATCTACACTGATAACAAAACACCAAGAATAAATCTCAACTGAAGATTTATTCTTGAAGATCTGGAAAAAAACCAATGTTAATTTACACCGGTATGGAATATTTATACCACATCATTCTTGTCATTTTGCAGCTATTTGTTGCTTTTGTATATTGTTGCTTATTTAGAGAGAAAACAAGTATGAAAGTAATTCCTTGCTTTTTTCCCCTCCTTTATTTTGCCTTCCTGTTCCTCATCTATCCCCAAATGAAATTGGCAATTGAAAAGGAAGAGTTGTGACTAATAGATTGAACCTAATGATGTTTTTCTGATAATTATGAAAGTGAAAGTCAAATATCTCTGGGCTATCCAAATTAGAGTAGAAGTCACCTAAAGCCAGTCCTATACTATATACTTTTTTTGTCCTGAATAACTCATTGTATTCATATTTGCATAGGAGAAACAATTAAAATGATTAATTGTTAGGTAAAGGTGGTTCCGAAAAGCCTCATTTTCTTATATTATATTTATATGCCTTATATTTATAGTATTAACACAGTTAGATTTAATAATAGTTTAATCTTTAACGGAACAATTATATAACCATATTTCTGAAATAATCCACCTTATAATGCCATTCTTAAACTGATGCAAATATTGCTGTAAAATATCTTGGTAACTTCCAGATATATGAACTTGAATTCCCTGAATAGTGGAATGGGTCTAGTGCTGACAATTCTGAGAGTTGGAAGTGCATAGATCTGGAAGTTGCCAAAGTTGGAAAACAATATTCTAAAGCTATATCATAAGTTAGATTTTGACCAAGCACAATTAAACTATCTACTAACCAACTCCATGCAAACTCATGAATTGGCAAAACACAATGCATCTTAAGTTAAAACCAAACTGGTTAGGTTCATGCAACCCAATTAGGTCCCCTCTCATAGGCTCCTTGTTGTGACAAATCGTTGTTGTTGTTGAAATTCAGGTGAAACAAATGTTAATTCTGGCAACAGAACACTTCATACTTGTGCTAACCCGTCTTGCTGTGGCCGGTTAAAACGGAAGTTTTGAGTTAGGGATACCATTCTCAACGTTATCAGAGCAAGCCTTACACTTTCCGGGGCTCGTTTTAAACTGGGTTTTTGTTACTCCCGAGAAAAGTCAGCAAGTATTCCGTGCAGCCCTACATTATAAGGCACAAGAAGAGAGGAGCAAGTCAAAACAACCACCTATGAACATTTATAACGCACCTAGGAAAAATTACCACTGTTAATAGTACCATCGTTAAGAAAGGGAGGGGGGATGAACGTAGGTCCGTTAAGGAAAACACGGACACCCCTTGTAAATTTCATGACCCAAGTTAAAAGCTTATTAATCCGGAGTAACTGCCACCCGTACTCCCAAACTTACAATATCTATCTTTCCACGGCGAGAGCAAGGTTTTATCCCCAGCGATGCACCGCGAAGCTCGGAGGAAAGAGGTGGATTGCCGCGTTCTGTTTTTCGGCGATCTCTCGCCTGGAGGCTCGTCCTTCTCCCCGGGTCCTCCTTGCTTGACCCTCCTGCTCCTCGGAAGCACCACTTAGGCCTGCGGCGCACTTTTGCTCAGCCGAGCAGGCGGCGCTTCAGGGCGCAAGCGTGGCCAGCATCAGAGCCTCGCATCCCCCGCTCCACCCACCACCCACAAGAAGCGACTCCCCAAAGAAATAGATGCGATATTTCTTCCCGCTTTCCTCGGGCCGGGAAGAGGCAGAAGATCGCAGTTTCTGCACGGCTCGGGCATCCCACGACGTCAGGACCCGCCTTCGCGCGGATTCCCCGCCTTTCCCGGCCGCGGTAACTCACCGCGCTCCTAGGGATCGGTGGCGGCGGCCGCGCCCTTTCCACCCAGCCGGCTTTTCCAGAAGAAAGTTGGCCCAGCTCTTGCACCGCTGTCGTTCTCCGCCGCCCGCGGTCTTGTGCTGCCGGCAAGAGAAAGCCAGACAGCCTTTGCTCCGAAAGGAAGGATGAAGTCCAATAATAATAATCATCATAGATGCAAACCAGGTGAAAGCAACGGAACTTTATGCAGCGCCCTCTAGAGGAGGGGTCTCCAACCTTGGCAATTTTAAGACTTGTGGACTTCAATTCCCAGAGTGCCTCAGCCGACTTTGCTGGCTGAGGAACTCTGGGAATTGAAGTCCACAAGTCTTAAAGTTGCCAAGGTTGGAGACCCCTCCTCTAGAGGTCATGTGCTCCGTAGCTCCGTATGCTGTGCAGAAAAATCTGGGGTAGAGGAGTGGGAGGGAAATCGCTTCCTTTTGCCCTGCTGGAATGGGGATCGAAAACCTGCGTTCGTATACGCAGGTCAGACTACTGGCAAGATACGATTATGGGAAGCGGAGAAAAAGGGTTTAAAAATTCCGAAAGGAAAACTTGCTAAGTCTATACTAAGTCTATACTTAAACTTGATTGCAGAAAATAGGACTTCAGTAATAGAGTGGTCAATGCCTGCTGGAATGCACTACCTGGTACTGTGGTTTCTTTAGACTGTCTACTGTCGACCTCACCCCATTCCTAAGAGGTCTTTAAGGGGCGTGCATAAGCGCACCAGCGTGCCAACTGTCCCTGTCCTAATATTCCCTGGTATTTGTGATTATTTCATGCATTCATAATCATGTTTATACTTATATCTGTTATCTAATTCATGCTTGATGAAATAAATAAATAAATAAACAAACAAACAAACAAACAAAC